AAAAAAAAAAAAAAATTTCAATTTTTTACACAAAAGAATAAAAAAATAAAAAAAAATATGTATTCATTTTAAACGTGAATACTACTTAGTTAAGAAAATTGGTAAAAATAAGGAGAATATTGATTTTTTCATTTTTTTCTTTTAATTTAAAAGCAAGTACGTCAATCATTTTTTTAAATATATTTAATTGTTAACGAACTCTTGTTGACGTAAAAAACGTTTTGAAGGGCTATATGCCCTTATACGTGACAACATTATTATTATTATTATTATTATTACACCTTCTTTAATTTTTTTTTTTTTAACGATTTTTCATTTATTAAATATGGAAACACACGACGAGGGTTTTATAATAAAAAAAACCCACAATTTCCTCCAATCTCTCGTTATTTTCAAAAAAAAAAAAAAAATTTTTTTCTCGTCTCTACATATAATTTTTCTCATAAAATTTGATTTAAAAATTTAATAATAATAATAATAATAATAATAATTTTTATTCGTTTAAATATCGTTTGGTTTCATTGCAATTACACCGCCTTTTTTTTTTTTTTTTTAATAATAATAAGCGTCATAATAAAATACGAATGTTATCATTTTGTTTTAAATGTAAATACGGGATTTATTAAATATTTTTTAAAAATAAAAAAAAAAATTTTTGTGTAAAAAACCGTTATTTTAAATATTATTTGTTTCCGTTTCCGCAATCGCATTTCCCTCTAGATTTCAAAACAAAAACGAATTTAATGTTAAAACCTTACATTAGGGTTTAAGGGGAAGGGGAAAAACTATTTTTTTACACGATTCTTATTAAATATTTACGTTTTGTCGAGATCCAAATTATTACGTTTAAACACATTTATTGGGAGTCTTAAAAACATATTCATATAATATTAAAAATGTAAATAAAAAAAGTGTGAATCATTATTATCACAGAAAAAATTTGATTTCGTTAAATCCTTTTTAATATATATTAAAATAATTATTATTATTAATTATGTATGACCGTCGCGTTTTTATCTTGGTTTTCAATATATATTTTTTTTTTTTAACAACAAGTTATTTATTAATGCGAAATTAGAAAAATTAAATTAGAAGGTTAATAATTTTTAATATTTGTTTTACGGATAAAATTTTTTTTTTTTTTTTTTTTATTAGTTGTTAGATAAATTTTTAATAAAGTGTCACGAAGTATTTTGAGTAGAATTTCCAATAGATGCTAAATATTCTTCGTATTTCTTTTTTTGTAAACTTTGCAATTTTGCAAGTTTTTTAATTGCTCCTTTGCTCAATTCGACTCCGTTTACGTCATGAGTCGGTAAACCCTAAATTATAAATAATATTTATTACTGATAATTGGTACCGAGGTCATTAGTGTAAAAATCTATTTTTTAAGGTTAAAAAAATAATACTAATAATAATTACGTTTTCGTCAAATTTAGAATATTTATCCGTTTCCAATTTAAACATTTCGTTGGGTGGTATTTTTCGCTGTGACTCCTTTTGAGCTTGCGCAGCAGATTGTTCGGCTTTTCTTTTTTCCTTTTCGAGTTTTTTCGCTGCTTCTAATTTTTCCTTCGCTTCTTTTTCTTTCAATAAAATTTCCTTATCAACTAATTTCACGGCAGATGATCGACCTGAATCAACGAAAACCAAAATATATATAAAACAACTATTTTTAAATAATTATAATTCGTTATCAATTCCGGTGTGTTTGGCCCCCCAAAAAAAATTAAATTACAATTATACCTTCTATATCTTCTAAACGTACTCCGACATTGGGTAAAATATCATCCCTTAATTTATCACACTCCTGAAGAATGGTTGTCGATTTTAAAATTTTTGCTTCTTTTCTAACGCAGTCTCTGAACTCCGATAAAATATTTAAATAAGGCATTATAACCTCATCGTTCTAAAATTAAAAAAAAAAAATTTATTATTATTTATTTCGCATATTATTATCATCTTATCAAGCCATTACAAATAAAAACTTTACATACACTAGCCGAGACATTTTCTCCTTTACTACTACTGAAACCAATTGAATTTTTAAAATCTATAACTCCGAATATAGAGAAAATTTTTGTAAGGTACTGGGCAATATTTTGTATTAAAACCATATTAGGAGATTTGACATCTCTTAAATACACGTTCGTATATCCTATAGTATCCCTGACAATATCTAAAACTGTTTTTGTATCTATGTTATCTAAAAATAAAAAAAAAAAAATTAATATTTTTAAATTTATACATCTTAACGAAATTAATGTTTGTCGTAATGGATAAAAATACAAACCGCACAAGGCCGAATGAATTCGACATTTTGAATTTTCAAATTTACTATTTAATTCTAGCTCTGAATCAGACCATTTGACAAAAAAATCGCATTCGTTTTCTTTTGAAAAATGCCTCAATAAGTCTTTCACATTCAAAAAAAATTCCTAAAAAATTATTGAAAACGTTAAATGTAAAAAAACTATTGTGTATATCAACACTCCTAAAATTTGTTTAATTATCCCACAGAACATACATTTAATAATTTTTCATATTGCACAGACATTTCCATCGTTTTAGGACTATAATCTAATGTGTCTTTCCACGAATGCAAAAGAAATGCAATCCTCAATTGCCTAGCAGAATTTTTCTTTATGCATCTTGGATTGTAATAAAATTTTTTAAAGATTTTGACATTTTACAACCTGAAATGGTCAAATGGCCTGAGTGAAGGAAATAATTGATCCAATTATTACTACCGAAATAAGCCTGAAAAAAATCACAATAACTGAATATTATAAAATTTTTATATAGTAAACATTTTGTTTGTTTTTTATTTAAAAAAAAAAAATTCAAGGTTTCAATTGATATTCGTTTTCAATGAAATGACCTTTGTCACTTACCTCAGCCTGAGCGATTTCATTATCGTGATGTGGAAATTTTAAATCAACCCCACCAGTGTGAATATCTATGTTAGAACCACATATCGCTGATGCCATAACCGAGCATTCAATATGCCAACCTGGCCTTCCACGTCCCCATGGAGATTCCCACCATGGTTCTCCAGATTTTGAATTTTTCCATAAGGCAAAATCATTAATTGATTTTTTTTCACTGGTTCTTTCATCGGTGGAACTTAAATCTCCTATAATTAGCACAAAAATAATGGAATTTACACACCCACACACTCACAAGTACACAAAACAAATCAAATTTAATTACCTTCTCCTTCTTGAAGGGATTTAGAATCCCCATATGCTTCTGGCACTAATTTTGCATAAAAATGTTTTTTGTTTGTATCAAAATTAGCGACATCAAAATACACAGAACCATTTGAATGGTAAGCAAATCCGTTATCGATAATTTTTTTTATATATTCAATAACTTCAGGTATGTATTCACTAACTCGAGTCAAAACATCTGGCGGGAGAACCTAAAAGAACAATGTTTAATTATTACATACACAAAAAAAAAAATAAAAATTTGAAATATCCAATACATACATTTAAATCACTCATATCTTTATGAAACGCAGATTCCCAAAATTTTGATAATGATGAAAATATTGAATGATCCGACACATCATGTCCTTTAATTTGATCTAGCCAATTTGAAATAAGATCTTTGCCATCCAGAAAGAAAACTTTAAGTTTATCTTTGACATTTATTCCTTCTTTTGCATTAGTTGAATTTTCTAGAACTTTGATGGCTGCCTCTAACTTTTGAACCATCTTTGCAAACATAGTTTTTTTATCCGGATCATTAATATTTTTTTCTTGATCAACCGCCCACTTTAAAACTGATTTTGCATCTGTTAAAATTTCTTCTACTGATTTTGAAGAAGAAGTAGTATATTCAGTAAACAGGTATTCTTGTCTAGCTTTTCTTATGATTTTATCATCTATGTCTGTTATATTCATAACATACTGAACATCATACCCAAAATACTCAGTTAACACTCTGCGCAAAATATCAAACGATATATATGTCCTGAAAAATTTACAGTATAAAAATTAGGTCACTTTATATTTACCTGTAATTACAATAATCACTAACGTAAATAATTTACCTGGCATGGCCCATATGGGATGCATCATACACTGTAGGACCGCAACTGTACCATAAAACTCGATTTCCAACATTAGGAATAAAAATTTCCTTCTGTCTTGTAAAGCTGTTATATAGTTTTAAAACTCCTTTTTCTGATTCTCGAAGTGGTTCCCAACTGGGTTGAGTGCGTTTTGACATTATCTGTAAAAAATAAAAACAGCATTAACTTAAAAAATAATAATTATTCTTTCACTAAGTTACTTAAGTTGTTTTATATTTGAATTGTTAGAAAAAATTTAAAAATAATATTATTTAGCATTTTTAAATAAAAAATTAATAAAAAATAGCTTGAAAATGAATAGAGTAGTCTTAATTCGAACCTAATAATTTTAAATATTAACTTAAAATACCGGAAAACTTTTTTTTTCAGTTTAACACTAGTTCGTAGAAATAGAAAAATATATATTGCACCACACAGTTCAAATGAAGTGAGACTTGTAGATTAAAGTGTGCGACAAAAGTTGATTGTCGCCAAAATTCTGTTAGTGAAGTTCGATTTCCAACAGGTCAATTTATATTATACATTGTTTTAGAATTTAAGACAAACATGTATGTTCCAAATGCTTTTATAGATTTGTCTTTGGATGAGCAGGTCAGTAATTTTTTCTAAATAATATGCTTGTACTTTTATAAGTACTTGCGAATCGTTTATTCCTTCATATTTTACCAAGCTTTTATCCAAGTACGGTTAGGTAGTCAAAATATAACACATTTTTTAGTAGTTTTTTTTAAATTTTGCATTTAAAAAAATTATAAATTTTTGTTAAACTTTATATTTTAGACTCAAGAACTTCGTGCCTATTTTAAAAGTTTAGGAGCGGAGATTTCAGAAGAAAAATCTCCCAAAGGCATTGAAGATGATCTTCACAAAATTATTGGTGTTTGTGATGCTTGTTTTAAAGAAGGCAACGAAGTAGAAATTGAAAGTATACTTAACAGTATTGTTTCACTGTTAATAGTAATTGACGTTGACAGAGCAGAGAATTTGTTTCTTGCTTTTAGTGAAAAACTTACCAAAGCACCAGGTCAAAAACTTGGATTGGTTGCACTTAGAGTGTAAGTTATTTGATTACATTTCATATAAATTTTATAATTGTTTTAAGTAACTATATACATTTAAAACTTTACCTTAGGCTGTTATTATTATTTCAATCTTTGGATGAGAGGCTGCCTATGAGATATCATGTATATTATCATCTTGTGCAAATAGCTAAGCAAGTAGATCAGGTTCAAGCGATATTCAAAGGTGTGGAACATATGAAACAACAATTTGCTGCATGTCCTCCATCTAATGAGCAAATGCAAAAATTATTAAGGCTCTTACATGAAGTGTTATTAAGTTGCAATCAAAGGTTTGTTTTAATATTTTTAATTGTTTATGTAGATTAAAAATTCAACATATAAATTTAACATAAAAATTTTTTCAGTGAGTTGGCTGCAAAAGTTATGATGGAGCTTTTAGGAACCTACACCCAGGAGAATGCTTCCCAGGCCAGAGAAGATGCACAGAGATGCATATTAGCAGCTCTCGCAGACCCTAATACATTTTTACTGGATCCGCTTTTGTCTTTAAAACCTGTCATGTTTTTAGAAGGAGAATTAATTCATGATTTACTGACAATTTTTGTATCTGAAAAACTTCCTGCCTACATAAAATTTTATGAAAATCACAGAGAATTCATTAATTCACAGAGTAAATTAATTTCTTTTATTATTTCAATTTATGTAAATATAAATATATTTCTAACTACAAAACATTTTATATTTTTTTTCAGAGTTAAATCATGAGCAAAATTTGAAAAAAATGAGACTCCTTACGTTTATGCAATTGGCTGAAACAAATTGCGAGATGACATTTCAAATGATTCAAGATGAATTAAAAATAAAAGAAGACGAAGTAGAAGCATTTATTATTGATGGTAAATAAAATTTTTAAAATATTTTATATGATATTTAAAGGAACCGAATTTATTTTATCATTTTGTGTGTCAGCATAGAACTTTAACGGTTTTATAAATATAGTTTTACGCTTTAAAGTAATCATTGAATTTTTCACACAGTTTTAAAAACAAAGTTGGTACGTGCAAGAATGGATCAATCGAGTAGAAAAGTATTCATTTCGAGCACCATGCACAGAACTTTTGATAGAGCACAGTGGCAACATTTAAGGGATTTATTATATGCTTGGAAAGTAAATTTAACTGCTGTTCAAGAAGGAATGAAAGCAGTAGCTGCTGCACATATGGAAAAAGTTTAATCTATCTGTATTATTATTTTCCCTTTTTTTTTTTTTTTTTTTTTTTTGTTATACTTAATAATTTATATAAATTAAACCTGATATTTGTGAAAACTATAAAAACAATGTAATAATATCATAGTGTTGGAATTTACAATAAACATTTTGTATTTCTAAATCTGTTGAGTTTTTTTTTAAACACCTAACCTTATCATATTCGAAAATATACCTGATCTACATTTTTTTTAAACCTGAAAACAATGAATATTTTGTTATACATAATCGAAATTCTAATCTCTTAATGGGTTTCTTATTTTCTTATTTGTTTTGCACAAAATATTATTTAAACCATACAAACTTATTTCTGTTTAGCTTATTCTATATATTGTCCCTGCTAAAATTGATCAGAACAAAAGTTAAAAATTAAAATTTAAAACTCAAAGGGAAAACTGTAAAAAAAAAGTTCAAAAATATTTTATGTTGTATATATACATAGACAATAAAAGTAAATTTCATAATTTTACGTTCAGGAACGTTAAAAAATATCAATAAAAATATTTTCCCTAAATTGAAAAATTAAATTTTAAAGAATATTTTTTTTTTTTAAATCACTGACTTTTAATTTTCACTTAATAAAAAATTTTTACGTGTAAAAAAATAAAATAAATGCAGTAATGTGAACAGTTGGTTTAACGTTCGACTGAAAAATCTATTTATAAAGAATCGAGAAACCGAACATAAATCACTACGTTACATTATTTGCCTCACTTCCTTTTATTTTTTGGTTTCAAATTTAAGGAGTTAAGGTTTATTAAAGTTATTACTAGTATATAATAAAATAAAATAGATATTTTTTTCTTTTAAATTTTGTGTTATAGTATTTTGTTTAAGTTGTTTTTTTTTGTTTTTTAATTCAGTGAAATTTTTTTTTGTTACAATATGCGTTATCTTATACGCATAAGACATATTTTGACATTGCACGTTTGAAATTTATTGTATAAGATTTTTTTAAAAAGTGAATTTAATTGAAATATTTAAATAAAAATTTGAATATTTTTCGATATTTTATATAATTATTTAACGGAATCAAGTGAATATGAATAACTTGAAATGATATTTAAAAAAATAATATTCTCTGTTCAATAGACAAATTATGTACAAATAAATAAATGTTTCATTCATGGTTATTTTAATCAAAAGTCCAAAAACATTTACTATTATTATTTTTTAAATTAAAAAACAAAAACCAAAAACAAAATACTATTTACGTATAGTAATTTCTAAAAATAAAAAGGTAAAAATTGTTAAAATAAATAAATAAAAATAAATGATTTACCTTATTTGGTGAGATCTACATTTAACGGTTTTCATTCTTCTGCCACTGTAAAACAAAATTAAAATTAGGTGGGAAAAAAAGTATTATTTCTATATCAGAATATTTAGATTTGTGTTTTATCAAGTATTAAAAATTTGAATGAATGAATGAATTAAATCAATAACATAATGTAAAATGTGCTTGATTGGTATTTTTTTGTTTTGAGGAATCATTATTTGATAAATAAGTATAATTTTTCACTTTATATCATTTACCTAATATAAATTTTATGGATTTCAATTTTTGTAAAGTATTATCATTAGTCTGTTTCTTTTTTAAAATAAAATATTAAAAAAAAACTAAACTTTATGAACAAGTCTAAAGAAAAATATGCAAATTAATATTTTCAATTTTCATCTAACAAGTTTTTTTGAACTTTTTTTATGTGTTGAAATATTTGAAATTATTATGTATATATATTATAGAGTAAAACTACAACATTTTGATAGTTTTTATACATTTTAGAGCTTTAAATATACTTATTGATTTTATAATTTTTAAAAGTATATAAACACAAGGACTAGAATTAATTTAAATGTATAAAATAAAACAATATTTTCATTGTAAATTATTATTAAAAACTTACATGTATAAATGTATGATGATAATTTGGTCATGAGAGAAAACTAAACTTTCAAAGGATTATTATCATTATTTCCAAATGATGAAGAAGAAATCGTTAAATCCTTTTTCTCTGCAACTTTGATGCCATGAAAATACCATCGAAAAGACCATCAAAGATGATGTTTACCGGTAAACGTCGAAGTACCTCATCTCCAGGAATTAAAAAAACTGGATCAAGCCATGTTGGAAGCTCTAATAGTAGTAGTTATTCGAATCGATCTCATAGTCTGGAAAAAGTAAGAAGTTAATTAGTTATAAATCTACAATAAATAAAAAAAAAATAAGTTTATAAAGTTTTTACAATGACAAAATAAATCCATTGAATTTTTATATTAAATTAAATTTTTTTTTCATTTCAGGTAAAATATTCCCATCATTTCAAATCAAATTTATACCATCAAAAAGGTGATGAAGTTTAAAAATTTTTTTTTTTATTAAATTCTTTCATATTTCATTTTTATTATTAGAAAAAAAAAAAATTATTGTTTTTGTAATTTTAGTTGATTCGATTGACGAATTTCAAGTACAAACAATTGCTAAAAGAAGAGTCGCCATAAAGTACAAAAGAATACACGAAGTCAAAGGTCATAAATTCGTAGGAAAATTTTTCAGATTTCCAACATTTTGTACGTTTTGTAAAGAATTTATGTGGTAAGCTTTTATTCATACAATTATTTTTAATATATATATATATATATATATATATATATTATTAAAAACAAAACGTATATAATAATAAGTTTTATAAAGTTTAGAATTTGTTTTAGGGGATTTGGTAGGAAAGGATATCAATGTCAGAGTAAGTAAATTTTTTTTTACATTTTCAATTAAGGTAGTATTAGGGTTATTTATGTCAGTGTCCCAAATAATTCAAACAAAGGAAATTATTATTAAAATTTGTTACACAGGTTGTCAAACAGCCGTACATAAAAAATGTCACGAAAAATTTTTAAGCACTTGTCCAGGTTCTGGAAAAAATTCAGAAAACACATTGGCAAGTATTTTTTTTCTCCTACACATATGCATTTCCGTTAAATAAAATTTATTTAACAACTCAAGACTGAATTTTATAAAATTAAAAAAAAAAAAATTTATTTTCAGTATCTCAGGAAAAGATTCAACATTGATGTCCCACATAGATTTAAGGTTTATAATTTTTTATCACCCACGTTTTGTGATCATTGCGGGTCCATGCTTTACGGTCTTTTTATGCAAGGTTTAAAATGTGAAGGTAAATTAAATATTATTTATTTCCTTATTTTTTTTTTTTTTTAAAAAAAAAGATAGGCTTTGCATAACGAGTTAATAACCCATTTACATCTCTCTCTATCTCTCTCTTTGGTTTCAAATCAATCAATGACATTAATTCGAATTTGTACAAAAAAAAAATAATAATAATAATAATGTAGAGTTAGTTGCCAGTAAGGGAGTGAATGTGAAGTAATAAAAAAAAATTTAAAAAAGCACATCCGTGAGGTAAATTAATAATTTTTGGATCCAACATTTGTTTTATTTATGGGTTGAAGCGGCCTTGCAGTGAAATTCACGTCTATCGTGACACAATAATTGCGATTCTTAATATTTTTCTCCCCAGTTTAAAAGTTCCTGCTGTTCAAATGTGATATTCGTTTTTAATTTTTTCTTTTCTTTTTTTTTTTTTTAATCATTAATAATTTTAATACAATTTAAATTTAGTTTTTTCTTTCCCCCCAAATAAAAAGTGTTATTAAGTAAAATAAAATTAATTATTTTTGTGTGTGTGTGTGTATTTAAATTTAAATTTTTTAACGATTTTAAATTGTATTTAAATTTAAATTTGATTTAAAGTGAAATTATTGTTAAATTTAGTTCAGTTAACAAAGATTTGATTTTGATTTAAAACAAAAAAAAAGTACAGACATGCCGGTGTTTAACGATTCCCCGTTTTATTTTTCTGGGGGATACAATTTGTATCCAAACTCTTTCACAGGCTCTAATAAAAATGGCTACCACGGTTTACATTCATCTTCTAATTTTAATTATTCGAATGCGTTAGGAAATACGAATCTTTATGGTGGCCGACCTTACAAACCAGACATTTCAAAATACGGTGCCAGTGGACGTCCTGCTAAGTTATATAATTCGTATTTGAGTAATTACGTTACCTATTCGGACTGGAAAGAAAATTTATTACTTAATAAAATAAGGGAGGATAAATCGTACAAATGGCAAAATAAAAATGCCATTGGTACAAACCAGTATTATCGTCAAAATCGACCTGTTTTTATCGACACGGCAAAGATAGACGTGTCTCGACCTAAACAAAGAAAACAAATTGAAATTACGGAGGACAAAAACAAAGTAGAATCCGAAGAAAAACCAAACGTTGGAGAAGAAAAATTTAGAGGAACTATATCGAGGGGTCGAACGGTTGTAAGAATTCACACTAAAGCACTTAAAGAAAATCCGTATTTTCAGAAAAAAGAATGCGAAGAAGTAAAAAGCCAGGTTGAAAATTTGGAAAGCGATAAAAAATCAATTAAAAAAAGTATTAAAATAAAAGAAAATGATTTGGAACTTGCGGATGATGATGAAGCGTTAGATCATTCAAAAATCGAAAGAAGAAAAAGTACATTAAAAAAAAATCAAGAAGAAAATAATGAAACGACCATTCAAAGAGAAGAAACATTAACAAACAATAAAAAAAGTCCTTTTTTTAAAGGTTCTGGAACAATTGTTAGAAAATGTAAGGTACGAAAAAAAAGTAAAGAAAGAAGAGAATCTACAGATTCTGAATTGATCGACAGCACTGGAAATTCTCGAAAGTCATCATTGTGCGTACCATCGCAAATAGATATCGAAAAGAAAAGACTTTCCATGGAGTTGTACGAGGAACAAGCGGCTATTTTGGATTCCCTTATACGAGAGGAATTAGCTAAAAAAGACGCAGATGATTATTTTAGCGATCCGAAGAGAGGAACGGTGAAAATACCGGCAAAACAAAGATTTACAAAAAGTGTGAGAAATTCAAACCTGCGTAAGAGTAATTTAAAAGAACAATGCGCGGAATCATCAACGACCGACGACGATTTGGATCCTGTAGAAAAATGCAAAAGAACGACTAAAAAAAAAAACAGGTTCATACCATTGAATGACACGGATGAATCTTCCTCCGGTAGTCGTAGAAACAGTTTATTTCAGGATTTATTTATAGAGGCAACCATTGCCGAAAATAGCGTAGAAGAATCTGTAAAAACAAATCAGTCAGATATTAAAAATCACACGCAGTGGAAAATTGAACAGAAAGTTGTCAATAAGCCAAAAAAATCTAATCTTAATTTTTTAGGGATCAATAAACTGCCGAAAATATCAGCTGTGGTTAACGTTGAAGAAAAACAAAAAACACCAAAATTTTACATAGAAAATGTTAAAATTGAATTATCCGATGGTACTAGTAGTAGTAATAAAAAAGAATCTGTGAAAGCAGTTGATTCGAATGAAAATTTTACGAATAAGAAAAGCACGATAAAAGAAAAGTCAAAAAATCAAAATGATATTTCCCGATTAACAAAAAAAAAAAATGAAAATGTAAAAGATACCGATATGAAAAATTCAAAAACTCAAATTGAATCGAATGCGGAAAACGAATCGAAAAAAAAAAATTCAAAGATAAACAAAACCGATTTGTTCGGAAAACCTTTTTGGAAAAAAGGTGGCGGCGATAAAGATGTTGAAAAAAAAAACACAATTGAAAAACAACCGACCGAAACAAAAAATGACAATAAAACAGATTCGAAAATTCCAAAATGGAAATTACAACTTGTTAAAAAAAATAATAACGTTAAAGACGTTCAAGATGAAAAAAAAAATGTACCTCTCTGTGAACATAAAAAAGAAAAAGACTCGGATAAATCCGACAGCGAAAAT